AACAGACTACTCATGGATTTAAAGCAGAATGTTGGTTTACTCATTGTTCTGTTAGCGGTAAGAGGTCTTTACTAAAAGTAATTTATTAAATTAGACGAATACACTATTTGACACAATGAAGTCTGTTTTAACTTAAATGATACAGGCTGTGACAGCTTTTAACACTTTGGGTGTGTGTTTGTGTGTGTGTGTGTGTGTGTGTGTGTGTTTTGAGACAGAGTCTTGCTCTACTGCCCAGGCGGGGTGCAGTGGCGCGATCTGGGCTCATTGCAGCCTCCGCCTCCTGGGTTCAAGTGATTCTCCTGCATCAGCCTACCAAGTACCTAGGACTACAGGTGCCCACCACCTGGCCGTCTGATTATTCTTTTCTTAGTCGAGATGGGGCCAAGTGGGTTGGCTTATGCCTGCAATCAGAGCACTTTGGGAGGTGGAGGTGGCAGGATCACAAGTCAGGAGTTCAAGACCAGCCTGACCAACACGGTGAAACCCCATCTCTACTAAAAATAGAATGATTGGCTGGCTATGGTGGAACATGCCTGTAGTCCTAGCTACTCAGTAGGCTGAGGTAGGAGAGTCACTTGAACCCAGGAAGCAAGGATGCGCTGAATTGAGACCACACCACTACACTCTAGCCTGGGTGACAGAGCAAGACTCCATCTCAAAAAAAAACAAAAAACAAAAAACAAAAAAAACCTAATAATTGAATTTAATCCTGTCTTCTGTTTTTCACAAATTGGAATAAAACTCTAAAAGATGTTCACTTGTCACATGTCTTCTACTTTTTTATATCTAAAAATTTTATATCTAAAAAATTTCATGTGTTATCCCTGCTTTCCTACCAGTAAATATATTTAGATGATAGTACTTTAAATGAAGATGTAGAGTATGCACTAGTTATAAGTATCTAAACCTAACGCTTAGCATGTGAAGTCTAAGCTGTGTAATTTTATACAAATTTTTATGATTTTCTTAAAAATGAAGACATAAATTACACATAAGCACTGGTTAATTAGAGGGGCTTATTTCACACGAGATAAATGCTGAGTTGCTGACATCATTTAAGGGTGGTTGTGTTCAGTAACTCAGCTGATACCCAAGGACATTTCTAGAGAGGTGATAATGTGTTATTGGCTAAATCGTGTGTTTTTGATTGTTCTTGCCATTCAGATTTGATGATAGCGGACGGAGTGAATATAATAGTATTGGCAATCGTGACGGAACTGGCTTCGGTAGATATGACCGGAGTGGATGCAGTCGATGGTATGACAAGTCAGATGAAGATGATTGGTCAAAACCACTTCCACCAAGTGAACGCTTAGAGCGGTAAGTTTTTGAAAAACATGTTATACTTAGCCATGAGTTTCATAACAATTAATGTACATGTAATAATTGTTTGATTTCAGGGAACTGTTTTCTGGAGGAAACACGGGGATTAACTTTGAGAAATACGATGATATACCNCATGTTTAGGTTTAACACCTTTTGCGCTACGTTATTCAGGATTTGTCAAAGATGGATCATAACTAGGAAACTAACACAATGGGTGTGCGCTAGCTACAAGTTAGGCTTAAAAATTAGGGAGTTGGAATCCCTCTTAATCAGTCATAGCTTAAAAAAAAGACATGGTAAATAATTTCATTCGATTAGGTTTACATTTTGGATACATAAAATTTATACTTATAAGGTGAATGAAAACAATTACTATTGTGGTGTGATAGTATAGTGTTAGTGTCATAGCTATGTTATATGCAGGCTACATTGTTCTCAGGTCATGAGATTACTTTGCCTCATTTAATCGTCTCTGGTAGAAGAAAACATTACCACTTGTAAAAATTCTGCTTATGGGACCTGTTGACCTTTGTTCCCACAAGGATAAGGTAACGGAAGACTACGTGTGAAGGACTTCATATTTGGGAAGATGCAAATCATGTAAAAGTCTCGTCAGCGTTTAATTTTTGCTTTTTTATTGAAGGATTCTCTGATAAAGACAGTTCAGGATGGAGTTGCAGCAGAGATAAGGATGCATATAGCAGTTTTGGGTCTCGAGAGTCAAGAGGAAGGTCTGGTTATTTCAGTGACCGTGGAAGTGGTTCAAGGGGAAGGTAAAT